AGTTGCTTTTCTTGTTAAATTTAGTCAGTGTTTTCCAGAAGCCTTTTGAGGATTTAGACTTACATTTTGCATTAAGTGTGATATCTTTAATATGGTTAGCTACATGGTTGACTTGGATCTTTTTACGAACTTGCTGTTTTAAATCAATATAGTTCTCCCAGAGCTCTTGAAGAACATTTTCGTCAGAGGACTTCATTTGGGACCAATATCTATGGAACTTATTGGATCCTTTTCTATTCTTAATCAGTTGCTTAATGTCATTGTCCCAAAAGCTTCTGCAGTTTGCATTAACAGTTTTCATCCCCACCGATTCATTTCCCGCCTTAATAACCCTTTCTTTCCAAGCGACCCACATACTTTCAACCTCATTAAACTTAGCCCCATCCCAATTATGATAGCAATGCGTCCAGAATAAACATTTGAGTTACTATTTTTAGACTTTCTTGCCAGAATATGTACAGTATAACCATTAAATGATAAGCTGTCACATGGATCTAACCATGTCTCGCTTAACAGGATTTACTGAAAAGCTCATAATTATCACATCCATCATATAATTTATCATAAATGTTATTGCATATCAATATAATTACAAATATTGAAACAGTAAGAAATGTGTTGGGCTTAAAATGAGCGGATGCTTTATTATACTATGTAAACTTAAAATAACATTTGAACATAAACACTTTTATAAAAACCGCCCAAAGATCGCCCAACAATTACTTACATCCTTAGCTCATCGTTTCAGAGTTATCACATCTCAATAATATTATACCCTTGAATATCAACATTCAGTTAATTTAGCTGATAACTTGCTCACATAACGTTGATAACATTGGCTAGACCACCTCCCCATGGCTTTTATCTCCCAGTCTTTCAGACCAACGTAACCACCTGAAGTTGGTGGTACTTACTCGAGTCATAACCTAACATAGAAGTTGGTGGTACTTACTCGAGTCATAACCTAACATAGCCATGGATATTTTCACATGATCTATAAAACAAGATCTGTTTAATAAACACCCATTATAACCACCTTGCAGGGCCTGTTCTAGGGGTTTTAGTACTAGTTGAGAAGGCATTTAAATTGCTATATTGACGTGAGCAATATTGTGTCGGGCGTTAATGACTTTAGTCGGGCAATAATGACATTATCCGCCCGGCTATGTTTCCCAGGAAAAGTGATATCGTTCAGTGCGTAAGATTTTCTATTTCAAATTTGCTATTTCAGCCCTGGGCATTAACGGTGGTAATAATAGTAATAACGTCATTTCTGCGGGCACTATATTGCCCTTTGAAATGACGTTATTGTACTATTAGTGAGCACAAACAAAGATTCATTATTGTCACTTCTATGTTCGAAGTATTTTTCTGTCATTAACAAACTGCACAAAGCTGTTTTTGTGTACATCCTATCACTACATCTGAACCTTTACCTATTGAATCAGTGTTTGAGATACTCAGTTTAACTATCATATGTTTGTCAACTTTAGCTTCTGCCTTTATTATTGTAACATCACTGTGTTTGAGATTCAGAAGTTCTGAACAACGAAGTAAACCGAAGAATGCTATCGACATGGCTGAGCAGAACATTAATTGATCCACGTTGACAAAATTGTGAGCTTGTACCACTTAACATAAAATATCTGCTGTTATAGCTGATTTTTGATTGGTATTATCCTGTTCCATCAATACTGCCTTTAATGCACGTTTGATTCTAAAAGAGTGATTAATGTTCAGGTCAAAATCATGTTCTATATGAAGGGAACGCACAGCATATAAGAAGTTAAGAATTGTACCATGTCGTAAACCTTTTTCGTAGCAAAACGTAACAAAAAGTAGTAATGTTTCATCTTCAGTCGGGAGGTAATTTAAACCAAACTTATTGCAAAATTCCATAAAGGAATGGAGGATGTTTGGACGTAAACCCTTCCTAACCAGTATTTCTGACTTAATGGTCAATTCTTCCAAAGAACCTTTTAAAATAAAGAAAATGATTTACACATTATGATAATAGATTGATGGGTTTCAATAAATACATAGTTGCGGCATATATACTGTTTAATTATAATGATCACTTCTACTTGTAAGGTTACCTCGTAAATCACATTTTAAGAAATACAAATAGCTTATCAATGAACATATTATACAATTATATCCACGATAGGCTGGCATTCTGGGTAAATGTCAAGGCAGCCATTTTGGACTAACATATTGAATACTATCTACATCTATGCATCTTGATTCACAAGGTTTCGATTGTTCCTACCTCACCTTGATAAACCTGGCCGAATTAACTGAGGACTGTGTAAATAAACCCCAGCTGAATTCACTCTCAATCGCTCCTCTCCGCGCAGTTGCAGCAGAGATCTATGAGAGGCCACAATTAATTTGTTGACCAATCATCGGTGAAAGATTTATTCAGTCCGCATACATTTAAAATAGGTTATATATATTTTGCAAGTGGATCCAAGAGACCAAGTGGGCGAGTCAATTATTTTGCAGGGGTGGCATGATACACACATTTCAATTTTGTATATAGTGAATTCCCAGCGATTGATTTCAAAACAGTAAAACTGTCATAATGAACACCTCTTTAGTGAAGATCTGTCCCCAGTGAACACATGACTCTACTCTATTGAACACCATATCAGATGTTCCCAAGCTTTATATCAATGATATAGTTTACATAAGAGAAGTATGACTGTATGAATTCTGGGATATTCCTGTTTTGTTGAGACAGATGAGAATAAAATTAACCCTTTGCAAAATTGATCAAAACTGCCTCCAATCATCCAAAACTTGGCTCAATCTAAGAGTGACCAAGTGGAGAAAATGGACTACTCATTGAAAAAATCTGTGATCCGGTATTTGTGCATTCTAATCTGGTTTTTATTGAATTCGCTTCTGATTTCGGAATTTACAGATCTGATATTTATTGACTACTAAACTTTTAGAAGGTTTTCTTAAATAAGGCAATGTGAGTATGTGGAAATTGATATGTGTATATCCTGCCACCCCAACAAAATAATGGACTTGCCCACTTGGTCGCTTGGATCCACTTGTAAAATATATATAACCTTTAAAATATCAAAAAAGGAGATCGATTCAGAATTGAGCGCATAAACCCGATCATTGTCGTAATCGCGTTATGTTTTTATACGAAATGTTTCACAAATTTTTGAAAATAGATCCTCCATATTGAAATATTTGCGCTTCTTGTCACGTGACAACAATAGAGCGTTCTGATTGGGTCCGTGACCGGGACCACGGCCATGAACCGCCACATATGAATGGGACATATAAATCTGTGTATGGAGCCACGAGGTCTCTAGACCCAGTGGAAAGCGACGATGACATCTATGTACATTATGGGGAATCTGAACTGATGTAGTGTTCAATTGCACAATGTGAGGGTTTGAATCAGAATTATTTACAGTTTCATTAGCTGTATATAATGAAGCTTCATTTATCAACATATGATTTGATTCATGGAAATAAATAGAATTGCATTCCATCTCGTTACAAGAGTCACTCATACATTCTGTGTCTATGATACTATCACACTGATCATAGTTTATAACTTTAGCCCAATTCGAGGGTAGTGAGGGTTTCCAATTCTTGCTGTCTGCATAGGAGTTGTGTGTTGAGTTAATGATAGACAACATTGCATCTACCAACCGAGTTCTTCCAGTGTGATTAAAGTGGAGTTTGTCATTAAAAAGGACTTTCATGTTGGGGTTCTGTAATGTTGAATCATTTATTCTGTTGATATTAAGGAAACGGGAGCCTTATTTCATGGCAAAAGACTCCATCTCTCCATTGACATGGTCAATTTTGATATTCATTTGTTTGACTTCTTGTGGTTTGGCATGATCTCCCTGGTAATGCAGTCCACACAAGTTTATTTTAGAAGTTGGATGCTGGTTTTTGGCTGTCATTGCAAGGTTTTTAACTCATAAATAATGGTTTGTGCAGAGTCATCTTTTACATTGTTTGTTCCAAAACTGAGGAATTTGTGATCTGTTGATCTACCTATGTCACCTCATTGTATGACTCGGGTTGCATATTCAATGTTAGCACTACTATATACTGATGAAGTCACTTTCATGCTTTTCCCTTTTGATCTAGCACTCATAATACCCGCCAATTTCTTACCATTTGAAGAGTACATTATATGGACAGAAGTAGGGAGCTTCTTGTGACCCTTGTTGAATTTCCTTGGTGTTGGCTTAGGGGGTTCTTTAAAGCAACTTTACCTGTTTTGTTAGGGGGTCCCTGTTGGTAGTGGATGAGATATTTAAAACTTGCACTTTCTCAAACATGGGCATTATACTACTAACTTCAAATGCTTTTTTCTATGTGCATTATTTTTTCCTTTGTTAAATCTTTGTATCATATTTGATTCAGTACGTGAGTAACATGTTTCAATGACTATTCTATCCTTTTTTTCTGGAGTAAGCATAGTGGGGCTTTAAATGATCACCCAAATACTTAAATTGGTGGAAATTCTGATATATCTCAAATGTATACCTGCCAATAATTTAATCAAAGGTAGAGTAGATGGCAAGAGTTGTATTGTGACATAAACAGATTATTAATATAGTGTTCGTTGGGAGTAGAGTTTCTGATTTCTAGTTTACCAATTGTCAAACTTGATTAAAAAATCAAATTATGTATGAAAATGTTCACATTTTAAGTCAGTTATTTTGAAATTGTGCAGACTTAAACTCCCACAAACCACCTTAGGTTCAACCCAGTACCACCTTCCTGTTAGAGTACTGTCTTGTAACTCTGACAGTACTTCAGTACAATACTCAACAATATACAGTTGAAAAGTTAGTCAGATATATAAAAAATTGAAAAAGTTACAGCATTTTCTATTATGTGGTAAAATGTCAAAAGCTGGCAAAAATGAAAAATTCTCTGGTTTCAACTGATTTTAGAGCCTGGGATTCAAGAGGTTATAATAAATTTTCTATTTTTTGTTTTTCATACAGATTGACCATTGGTTGGACTTTAGCTGTGGATATGTAAGCTGTTCAACCCAATTCAACAACGCCTTATCTCACTTAGACAAAGTTCTAGGTCCAATCACATACCTTGTTGCTGATACATTAACAATTGCTGACTTTGCTATCTGGGAGGCTTTAAGAGGTTTGTAGATTTAGTAATGTGTTGTTATTATCCCAATGAACAAAGTTTGGTAGGGATATAGTGAAGCCCTCCGTCTGTCCATCAGTCAGTCCTTCCGTCTGTCCAGAAGATAACTCGAAGACTAGTTGACAGATTTTCCTCATATTTGGCGGAAAGATGTATATTGGTAAATAGTTTTACGCAAATTTTTTTTTTCAAGATGGTCACTGCTTTAATAATAGTGGGAATTTTTCGCAAAAATCTTATGTTTTTCTTTTTAAACCAAAATAATAAAGATTATTTCTCTCAATATGAGAAATAGATAAAATCCAGAATTGTTTGTAACAGATATAGTTGCTGTTCAAGGCACTCATGTTTGCAGAATAATGAGTACTTTATGCAATATTTACTATCGAATCTCTAAATTCAACAATTCTAAATATTAGAATGATGTTTTACATCTTAAATAAGTAACAACCATGGCTGTTTTTACTCCATTTGATTCAAAGATACAATATGTGCAAATATATCACATTTGTTTCACTGCCATACGTTGCATATCATTGAAATCATCGGTGAAAATTGAAAATGAAAGACCCGATTATACCACGAATATGATTCTTTAGGATCTGATGCTACCCCCTGAGTATTCCGATTATACCATGAGTAAATCCCGATGAGATAGTGAGTAAGCTTTCGGATGATCATATTATAACATGAAGTATATCATAAAAATTCCTGTTAATATGATATACATGTAATTACCGCAGCACTATACATCAACGTCTGTGTCCCGCAAAGTTCTTTAAAACATTGAATTCATTCTTTCACTGGAATCACCATAATTTTCATTGTTGATGATATCATTACTTCTTTCTGACTACCGTATTATCTCTATTAAACGCACACTCTGTAATAAACGCACACCTGACTTTTTGTCCCAGGTTAGAAAGTCCTGTCCAGATAATATTGAGATCTGACGAAGCTCTAATAAAAAAAACATTGTGGGCGATAATAGAGTATTTTCACCTACCGGTTTATTGTGTCGATTTCAGAAGCGATTCCAATTTATTTATATCAGCAGCACGTCCCTTCAATACATATACAACAGGTATTTCTAATCCCTTGCCTTTATTCAGCCTCTTTCCAGCGATCTTTCCAGATATTGTCCCTCCTCGTTTCAAAAAGAACTTAAAAATTTTGGCGATCCCATCATGCAACGTAAGAAATTTCTTCAGGTGTTCGTGTAAATAACACACAATAGTGTATTTATATACTAAATTTGTCATCTATGAGCTCACAATTCAAGGTAAAAACATAACATATAGCATATTCTCTCTAATAAACGCACATATCTACTATATTTGATCGATTTAAGGTATAGAAGTAAATTTTCACCCATTATCGCCCACCATCATAATTTTTTAGAATTCCCTGGGATTTAGCTGCTTGAAACCTCTCCCCCACGGGAATTTGCTAAGCGCACTGTGCGTTTAATAGAGATAATACAGTATGCTCATAATCCAATGACTTTGGTACGTGTTATTTTGTATGAAAAAAAGTTGTATATTTTGAATGGTCTAAAATGTACAGTTAAAAGACCCATTATGCTCATCCGCTCTCAATTTTGAATAAGATAAGATATCAGTAGAACGGCTACTAAAATGAAAAAAGATTGACCAGTAGATATTAGGAACTTGAAACATATTCATTTTTATCAATAAATATGGATAATAATTGATTTAAATGCAATTTCGTGCTATTCCTATCCTCCAGTGTTGATAGCCTAATTTGTGTTGTGTCAGTATGGGTCAAAATGTTACAATAGTATTAATAACGAGGAACCCTTCTAAAAAAGGCAATTAAATCAAGGTTCAAAACTCCCAAAAGTAACCCTAACACTATTTCATCATCAGCACGTCATACACTCGACGATGTCATTGGATCTCAACAGATTTTACTCAAGTAATGTTCGGATTCTGAGATCCTTTACTCAAGATATTTTCGGATCTTTATAATATTACTCATTGATCACATCAGGTCCGATGTCCGATAACATCGGATCTATTAGGACAAAGTTTATGTGAAGATTTTGCTGTTCAAAAGTGCTATTTTGACCTAATAGATTGACACTCAATATATTATGGATATGACATGCATTTACCGACCCAGGTATGTCTCGTTAAATACAATATGCAAGTGTTATTGAAATACATCAGGAGAATTACCCAAATGCGAGTAGGTAGTTACCAGTTTCACCACCAGGTGGCTGATTCGGGTCAATTAACATGGCAGGTATATAAGAAAGTTCCCTTAAACTTGAATATTATCAATTTAAGTGGCTCAATTTTCATATAACCCTTATGTGTCTGATACTTATACTCATGAAAATATGTCCAGGAAAGCAAAATATTATCTGTCCACTAAAAGAAAAAATATTTCATTTTTTGTGATTTTATTAGGGATGGGACGGTTCGTTTCGGTTCGGTTCGGTTTTTTCGGATCATTAGCCGTCGGTTCGGTTTTTTCGGTTCGGTTCATTCATTTTAAGGATTTGTATTGATTGACATGATTAGCTGCTTTGTCTCTGACTTCACTGCTGATTGTCACTTTCTTTTAATACAACCAATAAAATAATCTTCATTTCTTTTGGGAAAACGGGAATTTGAGATCCAGACGCCATATTTGAATGTATTGTGGGTGCGCACAAAATAATACCCTATATCGAACCTGCGCAAATTTATATTTGTATCAATTATGCCACGTTATAACAATATTTTATAGATGGAATTTTATGTTATAGTATTTCATGAACAATACATATTGTTTAGAATACACGACTAAAGAATATAGTACCAGGGACCACATGATTGATTACCGAGGGATACGAATACGCGGATACGAAACGAATTTAGTAAACGAGTGAGCTAGCAACAGACAAGACAGACAAGGTAGGGACTAGGAATATCAAAAATGTTGCACAGTGAGGGGGGTGCGCGCGGGACGTGCCCCCCCCCCTAAAATCCAGCATAGACAATTATTTAGTCCTGATGTAATAACCCAGATGCGAGTAGAAATAATCTTGATTTACGTCATTAAAAATTCAAAATTCAGTCAAAGTAATATCATATTTGAAATCTACATGTAAAATTACATTTAGAAATGTGGTTTTAAAAAGTGTTTATCAACTTTGAAAAATTAATTTTCTTTGAAAATATGACTTCTAGCTCGGGGAGATTCCCCATAGACCCCATGCTATAAAATCTAGGGGTGGGACGGATAACCGAAATACCGAAAAACCGCGGTTCATAGCCTTCGGAATTTAGTTTAGTATTACTGAGTTGTACATGAACATACAGGGATCATAGACATTCACTTGTTTGCTTCATAATTCGACTAGTGATCCAAATTATCACACTGAAACTTGGATACATGCTGAACTTTAACTTAATATCAATCTGCCATGTCAACTTTAAAATTTTCAGGGATGATTTTAGGCATTCTGGGTAAATGATAAGGCGATCATTTTGGATCTTCCATCCTGAATCTTGTGTGCAAAGACTTATCTACACGTTTACAGATGAACCATTTGAAAGATCGAATTCAACTTTTCTGATGTGATTCTTTGTATGAAAATCTCAAACTGATTAGTTTTTGGGGCATTCTGGCTGATGTTGCCATTTTGATTTTTTTTACCTAAAATCTTGTATTTTCAACTGATTAAAGAATTGGGCATTGGGGATAAAAACTCTAGGACCACCCATCGGTATGGACATATTGTACACATTTGTGTTCTTGTTAATAAGTTAGAATGAAAGAAACAACTGGATTAATTTAAATACCTGCCATCTGGAGATCAGTAGCATATTAATGAGAGAACAAATATATTATATGAAACAATATTCCATTCCTTGTGAGTGAATAGCTTACGGGTAACACAATCTCTCTATAGCCAGAGGGGGGTGTGATGGGTCGCATCCCCTCCATAACCAATAAAAATAGAACTATTCGATAGTGGAAGAAAAGAGCTTTAAAATGCTTTTTTAAGCTTCTAGCTCAATTTTGAGCAAAGTTGCATCAATTTTTGTAAAATCCAAAACAGATCTTATTTTTTTGTTTTGCCTTGCTTATGCCACGATTATGCCACCCACTTGACTGAAACCCAAAAATTTGGCGATCGTACCGCCCTGACTGAAAGCTGACTACGCCCCTGCTCTCCAATCTACACTAAAATACCTTCCTCTTGCATGTATTTTAGAAAAACACCATCTACTCATCCCGCTACTCATGTTATGTGTGTCTGTGCTCGACCCTTGGTGGTCAAACCTTCTAAATTCCATCTTTTTAATTTGAAAGTAATATATTTAAAAAACCACATATTTTTTATTGTGCTTGGGAAAAGGACTTGACAAATGGAGGGCTTCGTGACATCCCTATCGAACTTCATTTGCTGGGATAATGATATTGATAAGTTAAATTCAATTTTAGATATGTATTGCTTGAGGCCATGCGCCATCTTTTAGTCAAAATACTTACAGAAAACATAAAGTGTGGCCCATAATGGAGTATAGAGGGTTAAGTCCACTTTTTAGTAATTTTGTGAAGCAATGTCTAAAAGATGGCCCAGAGTCCAGTCCATCTTTTCTTGGGGCCAGTCCACTGATTAGAACATGCCACTATCAAGTGAGGGTCAACTTTTGACTCAACTATTGATCTTATCTGTTTACCTAATCGCTCATAATATCAATAGGCTATCCTGGACCCTGTTGCTTTAATAGCTTTAGTGCATGATAATTATCTCAAGCTAACACCAAATGACAGTGTGTATTATGGTGTCTACCCTGCGTGCAGAGTCTAGTTAAACTACACTCTGCCTAGTAGAGACCATATTACAGTTTAGTAGCCCCGCCCCCACGACGGGTACCGGTGACAGTTTGGGTAAATCACTTTTGACCTACGCGCTGACCTTCCACTAATCAGTGAGCTTGAAGAAACATACGCCAAATGCGTTCTAATTGAAT